CTATTGTGAACAGGGCTGCAATGAACACTGGTGTACAGGTTTCTGTTTGAGTCTCTGCTTTCAAGTCTTTTGTGTATATACCTGTTGTTGTTGTTGTTATGTGCCGTCGAGTCGGACCCGACTCATAGCGACCACTCCTTGGGTTTCCGAGGCAGTATCACTACGGAAATAGATTGCCCCATCTTCCTTCTGAGGAGTGGCTGGTGGGTTTGAACCGCCAGCCTTCTGGTTAGCAGTCAAGTGCCTTAGGCACTATGCTACCAGAGCTCCTATACATATATATATATGCCTAGGAGTGGGATTGATACTGCCTCAGCAACCCAAGGAGGGGTCGCTATGAGTTGAGTCCGACTCGAGGGCACATAACAACAAGAAGAACATGGTAGTTCTATTTTGAGTTTTTTGAGAAACTGTCACACTGTTTTCTACCAGCAACTTATAAGGGTTTCAATTTTCCCACGTCCTTGTCAACATTAAGGAGCTCTGGTGGCATTGTGCCTGAGGCATTTGATTGTAACCAGAAGGTTGGTGGTTCAAACCTACCAACCACGTCATCACGGCTGGACAATCTACTTCCATAAAGATTTACTACTGCCTCAGAAACCCAATGGGGATTGCTGAGTTGGAATTGACTCCATGGCAATGAGTTTGGTTTGGTTTGGTTTTGTCAACATTAGTTATTTTCTCATTGATTTATTTTTATTGTAACCGTCCTAGTGGAAGTGAAATGGTGTCTCATTGTAGTTTTGATTTGAATCTCTCTGATGGCTAATGATGCTGAGTATCTTTTCACATGTTTGGTGGTTATTTAAATGTCCTCTTTGGTGAAATGTCTATTCAAGTTCTTTGTCCATTTTATTGTTAAGTTTGTAAGTTAAGTTTGTTGTTAAGTTGTCAAAGTTTTATATATATGTTGGTCATCAAATTCTTGTCGAATAAGATATTCTTCCACTTGGTAGCTTGTCGTTTCACTTTTTTGGTAAAGTCTTTTGATGAACCAAGTTTTTAATTTTTATGAGGTCTCATTTATTTAGTCTTTTGGTGTTTGTGCTTTTGTTATTATATTCAATAATCCATTGTTGAAAGCAAGGCCTGAAAGCATTGTCCCTGCTTGTTCTAAGAATTTTAATTATATTCACTTCTGTACATATCTCTTCTTAGGGTAAAGTATCACTGGTTTTCTACTTACGGTTATGACATAGCTGCATTTTCTCACTGTGGCTGAGTCAATTTGACTCATAGCGACCCCTCCTTGGGTTTGCGAGGCAGTATCTTTATGGAAGTAGGTTGCCCAATCTTCCTTTCAAGGAGTGGCTGGTGGGTTTGAACCACCAGCCTTCTGATTAGCAGTCAAATGCCTTAAGCACTATGCCATCAGCGCACCCAAATAAAGGGAGGAGTTTTAAAGAAAAATATTAATAATAATACAAATGGTATATATATGTCTATATAATATCTGTGTGTGTATATATATATAAACTTATAAAGGCAATTCAAGATTTAAGGTGATAGGAAGGAGTCAGCAGGACTGAGCTGAAACTCAGGTCAGCCACTAACAGCAGTGGCTCTTAGCACTTAACTCCTCTCAGCCTTGGTATTCTCACCTGGTAAATAGAGGTTATTTAATCCTTTTATTTGCAGAAAAGGAGCCTTGGTGTCTGGTAGTCAAAGTACTGGGCTGCTCACATAAATGTCAGCTATTTGAACCCACGAGGCCCTCCACAAGAGAAAGACATGGCAGTCTGCTTCTGTAAAGATTTACAGCCTTGGAAACTCTATGGGGGCAGGTCTACTATGTCCTACTATGAGTCTGAATCTACTTGACAACAAGCAATTTTGGTATTTACAGAAGAGATCATGAGAATTAAACAATAACTATACTTCCTGGCCAGAGCAGAGGTTCTGCCAGTTACAACTTTACTTGTTGTTATGTGCCGTGGAGTTGGACCTGACTCATAGCAACCCCTCCTTGGGTTTCCGAGGCAGTATCACTATGGAAATAGATTGTCCAACCTTCCATCCAAGGAGTGGCTGGTGGATTTGAACCGCCAGGCTTCTGGTTAGCAGTCAAGTGCCTTAGGCACTATGCTACCAGAGTTCCCAACAACTCTACTATGACTGTAAATTATTACAAACATAATCAATTGATTCACCATCTTGGGATCTCTAAAATGAAAATGGCTGTTTTCAACTCCCAACCTGCTGGTACATTTCCAGGGCAATTAAGTATAGGGGGATCCACATTTGCTGAAATTAATTTAGAACTAGTTTGTGACCCAAGAGCCAAGAGAAGTTTTTGTGTCCACCAGAGAATTTCCCAAACACCTGGTCCAGTGTTGAGTCGGTTGGGACTCCACAGAGCCTTTCTTAGAATTAGAGAAACAGCCCTTTCTGGAAAATGTTTTTTCTTGTGCAGTGTCTCTGGGTTTTACAGAAGTGCCAAGGGCTTGGGTTGGCAGTGATTTGTTGATGTATTCTTGGTTGTTGGCAAAGTGTATTATTTTAAGCCTCAAATAATGCTCAATTGCCCCCTCCCTCTTTTTTTTTTTTTTTTTTAATTGTGATTTGGGTGAAGATTTACAGAGCAAATTCACTTTCCATACAACAGTTCAC